GACGCTGCTCACGTTTTAATACAGGAAGTGGTTTTGGAGGCGATCGGATGGCATTAATCTTACAGGCCCAGGCAGAGAGATCCAGTCGCCCTTCACCGGGTACAGATAAAGGAGACAATGCGCCTCCACACCGGTTCATCCTGCACCGAGCCACCAAGAAGGGATTGTGTCTTACCGAACAACCCCCCCCCCCCACAACACAGTTGATTCCAGTTAGCTGGCATGAAGCTTAGCTAAAGACGCCTGTGAAAAAAAAAAAAAAAAAAAAAAAAAAAACAACCCCCCCCCCCCACAATATTACTTGCATAAAAAGAAAGAGGCAATAGAATTTCAAAGGTAATTAAGTTTCAAAATTAGCCTAAAGAGAGAGTCAAATGGAAGACAACAAATCATTCACATACATTCTCTTGTATACACAACTCAAGTCTTCCATCCTGGACCACGTAGATGCTGTCATCATCATCTCCTGGTTTGAACAGGCTTTCACCCTCCTGTAGCTCAATAAACACCATATGTCGACACAGCTCCAGAAACAGAGGCTTCTCAAAATGGCCCAAGACCCTACAAGTTGAAGAACAAAAGCAATTAAAAAAAAAAAAAAAAAAAAAAAAACCCCAACAACCCACACACACACAAAATTGACTTGCCTACCTGACATTTTTCAGCATATACAGGACCTCAGAAGGCAGATTCGAGCTCTGCACTTCAAACTCTGTTAGATCAGCTTCCAGTAGGGAGGGAGGGGGTTCCTTGGGCTGCAGGGTGGGAGGGTCTCTCCGGATCCTCAGAATTCTGTCAGGAGGAAAAACAAACAAACAAACAAACATGTACTTTAAAAATAAAACACTAATTTCACAAAAAGCCTTGAGTACATCGAATTTAAAAATGTGTTCTTTCGTCATACTTGCGGGCTATGTTTAGAACTTTGGTTCTTTTTCGTATGCGCTGTGGTTGCTTTGATGGCGAGGGATGGGATGGAGAAGGAAGCGAGGAGAGTGTCTTAACCTACAAAACAATATTCAAATATATTTTGTTTATTGCGCGCAGAAAAAGAATTTTATCCAAAGTTGTACTTCTACTTAAGAAATATTAAAACGGATTTTCTTTTTTTAAACTGCTGTATTAAACATAGAAAGGCTGTTTGTCATTTATCATCAAGCCAAACTACTGAAGGCATTTTCAGTCATTGTGTATTAGGGTGAAACTATAGTCTTAGTAGTGTTGCCTATGAAATTAATAGGAAACTACAACTAGATGTTAACATCAAGTATTTCTGGACATCAACTGTTGGCATAAAAGCATTAAAAGCAAAATTAACTAGTTTTTATAGAGCAGATAACAATCTACTAGACTATACTACTAGACTATACCAAGAGAGTGTGTATGAGCCATCAACAGAACTGAGAAGGGAAAAAAAAGAAAAAGACAACCTTTCGCATGATCTTCCTTCCATAGAAAAGCACTTTATCTCGTTTCCTGAATCGATAGTGAGGTACACCCGGTTGTTGATTACCTTGTCGGAAAATCCAAAAATATAATTCAGATAAACAACAAATGTCATTCTGCAGCAAGACTAAAAAAAAAATTTTATTTATATATATAAAGTTATATATATAAAGTTCAGCAAGAGGTCAGATGACTCACGGGCATGTTTGAATCTCCTGTAAAGGAAGAGCACCACAATTCCAATCAGCACAACTGCAACCATAGCTCCAATCAATACACCTGTAAGCTAGAAGACAAACAAGACTGATGAGGCAATAATATGATCACATGACAGCACAGTTACATAGAGTACAGCACGTTTGTAAAATTGTTTTTAGTCCAACTTTGCATCACAATTAAATTACCCGTATAACTAAGCAAAACGAGCTCTATTGAGTGGAAAACCGCCCGATTTGATAACACTGTATCCAGGGCCCTCATTTCTTGTACAAAACACAGGCACTCAATTTCCATTTCATACCATGCTGGTCTGCATCCTCTCCTCCAAAAACTGTGGCAGCCGTGCGCGGAAATCAGTTCTGCTCATCGTTACCACCTAAATATAACACAACAGATTCAAGTAATACATGTTCAACACTGGTAGCTCCCAACTAACTCACTTTTCTCCTTTCAAACCAAGTTAGGAATAATTTTAAATGGAATTATGCGCTTACTGAACTGGCCATTTTGCACAGGTCTCCATCATCCTTTCCATGACACTCTAACCTATAAGACAAAAATCTCTATTAACGCTGAGTCTGCAGCCCAAAAATCACATGCCATCGAGGGGAACCAAAAGTTGCTGAGGAAAAGGCAACTATTAAGAAGGGGAACACGGATTTGTATGTTAGCAGCCACTCTCGCCATGTAGCGTCGTGTCGCCTTCTTAATTCATCTTAATAAAATTACCAAAACACGAATAGGTGTTATAATTAGCCAGCAACAAAGTAACTTTCGATAGACGTCAAGCTTTAGACGATTTACTGAATACGTCTGAATGGAGTAGCTAACGTTAGCTAAAATAACATTCGCTAGCAGCTGTCCAGCTGACTGAGAGTAGCTGCTTCACAAGTTATTTTGAAGAACTTAGATAGTCAAACTCTGTGAAGTTGACAGGGTGTAAAAAAACCACGAGGCTTACTTTTCGAGCATCCTGGGGTGCCGTTTTCAAGCTGATAACATAGCTAAACAGAAGCTAGAATAAAGTTAGCGAGAAGCTAACAAAGTTTTATGCTGTCAGTTGCTTAGCTCCGCCCTTATCCGCTGTTACCTTGGTAGCGCTCAGATCATTTATCCAATCAGAAACGGACTAGGCACATCCTCGTCTTCCTGTTTTTAACAAAGCATCTTTGAAGGCTACAAACATCCGAGAGGAAGTGGAGTTTGTTTATTTCTCGACCAGTCTCTTGTAGTGCTTAATATTTCTATAGCATTTTCGAGTTACCTTTGCCTATTTCAGACGTTTAATATTTATATTTGTCACACTTACTTCACATGATCAAATACATTTTAATATTGGACAATGATAACATGTGTAAATACAAAATACGAAAGCTGAATGAGCTTTAACTAGCCACACCCAGTCCTGATTTAACCTAGGACCTCTTTGTGAACTAGCCTAAAAGATCTCAAAATACAACATATCACGAGCTAAAGAAACTTAAGAAAAGATGAGAAACAATGTCATTGATATCTGTCCGTTTGGAAAGGGTTACGACGCCATTTCTCTAAGCTCAAAGACTTAGAAATGGCAGGTGAACCATGGTGAACCATTATCCACAAATAGAGAAAACCTGGAACAGTAGGGTACCTTCCCAGGCATTGCAACCATACCAAAAAACCTCCAAGAGCACATTGACGAATCATTCAAATTCAAATTCAAATTCAAATTTTATTTGTCACACACACACACAACCATACGCAGTATGACATGGGGGTGAAATGCTTGTAGCTGTACAATGCCCGACCATTAAATGACAGAAGAAAAGTTTTACAACATTTACAATTTACAGTTTACTACAAAAATTTACAAATTAACTTAGGAATTTACAGTAAAGAATGTGCAAATAGCAGAAGAGATTATAAAGATAAGGATTATAAATTATAGGAATTATAGGATTATAGGAAAGAAGGTCACAGAAGGACTCAGAACAAGTTCTAAAGAACTGTAGGCCTCACTTGCCTCAAGTAAAGTGAGAGTTCATTATTATTCAACAATTTAAAAAAGAGAGAGTGGGCAAAAATGGCATCCATGGGAAAAATCCAATGGCAAAAACCAATGCTAACCAAAAGGAACACAGAGGCTCATCTAAAATTTGTCAATAAAACATCCCTGAAAGTTTGGGGAAAGTACTCTGTGGACTGACAAGACAAAAGACAATCTTTGTGGAAGACTTGGGGCCTGTTAAATCCCACATAAAACAAACACAGCATTTGATAAAAGGAACATCATACCAACATTCAAACATGGTGGTAGTGTGATGGTCTGGGGCTACTTTGCTGCTTCAAGACCTGCATGACTGCATGACTTGCCATGAATTCCTCTCTCTAACAGAAAACCCTGAAGGAAAATCGCCACCCATCAGTTCATTCCCTGAAGCTCAAGAGCAGTTGGGCAATACAGAGGGACAATGATCAGAAACACACCAGAAGTCCACCTCTGTATTGTTCAAAAAACAAAACAAAAAGAAGGTTTTGGAGTTACTTATAGCCAAAGCCCGGACTTAAACCAGGTTGAGATGCTTTGGCATAACCGTAATCAGGCTGTTCAAGTTCAAAAACTCTCATTATGGCTGAAGTAAAACAATTCTGCCAAGCAGAGATGATCATTCCTCCACAGTGATGTTAAAGACGCATTGCCAGTTATTGTAAACACTTCACTGCAGATCTTGCTGTCAAGGCTGGCACGAACAGGCATTAAGTTTAGGGGGCAATTACTTTTGTATATAGGGTCAGGTAGATTTGGAAAGTGAATTTTACTGCTATATTGCATGAAATACTGCTTCCATAGAAATAAATACATCAAGAGTCATATAGACATGTAATCAATAATTTTATTACCATAATTCATTTGCTATTAACAAAACTGATTAAGTTTCATCCAATGTTTTGGATTCCATGGTGATGAAAAATCTGCATTCACCATACAACTTTAATATAAAAACGATTACTCATGACAACTTTAAAGCAGAAATTTAGTAGCTAATAAATTCATATACAAACATTCATGTACCAACATTAGCCACTTTTTTCATATTTAACCTTTAATGTATGTCCATAATGTCCATATAAATAGATATACTCTTTCCTTCACCCTCCATTTATGCATTTAAATTAAACCATTCTCATACGGTCACTGCTAATATGCAGTCACTATATAAAAATATGTAAAGAGGAGTTATGTACAGCCATTCATCTTTTTATGTGTATGCTAAAATAATGTGTAGTTTAAAATCTGATTTGAATTAAGTGCACTTAACATTACGTTCAGGCACAAAACACGCACGTACACGGCATTTACAAAAACACTCGAGAAACACTAGAGGGAGCCAAAGTCATGGTAACAACTATACTTTTTATAGAAAGTAAATGATTAAACTGCCATTTTTTTTATTGTCCACACAGATGTAATTTAAACAGATATAGAACTTAATTTTCAACATGGTATATCTGAGTCATCTGCATTTTATCTCTTTCTGTTTTTACTTTCTTTAATTTCATGAATGCTGTTTAGGTTCACTCCTCTATTTGCTTAGGTACTGGGCGACAGAATGGTAGGCGAGGAGAATCTCTGAGTCATTTGGGCAGGTGTGGCGAAACTCGTCCCGTTTGTAGGCATTCTCTAGGTAACGTGTCAGACCTTTGAGCTCTGCAGGGATGGCAAAGTCACGGTACTCCTTAATCATCACCTGAGGGAAGAGCAATTTTTACAAATAAGTCCAGGAATGACTCATTACATTTCTCAAATCATCTCTACTATTCAGATAACAGTGAATATTTCTCTCTTCTTCAGGATTAAAAAACCAATCAAAATGAAAGGTTTGTATACACATAGGATTGCTGAATTCTGTTCACCTTGACAATGTTGAGTTTGGGAAGCAAGTTGCAATCTGCCAAGGTAAGGCTGTCACCATCCAGGAAGAGGCGTGAAGACACAGTAAGATCTGGGTTTTTGGCCAGCTCGTGAGGGAGAGGAGTTTCTAGATACATGTTCAGCTTCACCAGAGTGGAAAGAAATTTCTTCTCGAGCACTGAAAGAAGTTGCAGGCTTTCTGTTAACCCATGGTGGCTCTTTCCATCATATATATAGCATAAGTGACTTGAAAATTTCAAAATTCTTACTGTCATTTAAACCAGGATTGGGATTCTTGATATATCCTGAGAATTTTCGGAAGATGTCTTCTCCAACACTGTTGGACTCTTTGTAACGACAGCACAATTTTGGGTGCCTGTTGTTAATCAAATAAAACATTTTGTTAATGTTTGGTGTTGCAGTGATGGGTTAGATATGCAGTGTGTTTCAAGGACTGAAAAGACTGTGGTTCATATGTTTGAAGCAAGGTGCACTTTGCTCACTGTGGTGGGGCTAAGGTCTCCTCCAGGAACTCCTCAATCTTATTAGTGTCCGTTTTGACTTCATCATTGTAGATGAGAAAGGGAGGCTGAGAGCCTGGAGCCAAATCCTTCAGTACATCCGGAGCCCTGCAACAGATCAGTGAAGGCTTATTTTGGCACACTTGATCAGAAAGTTAAAATGTTTAACTTCCCAGCCTAAACCAAGCAAAGGCTATGGAAAAGCATGCTAGGATCACTTTCTAATGATGTGTTTTGACACTTCAGTATATATAAATAAAGCCATGCTATGATGACCATTGATGATTAGAGTAATTTCTGGCTTCTTTTTTTTTTTCAAAGTAGCTGCATAGGTAGAGACCACCCTCGCTGACTTCTGATGCATGCCCAGTGGTTTTTGTTCTATAAGTAGGCCTGAAATATGACAAAAATTGTTCTATTCAGAAAAGAGCTTCAAGGATTACTCCTAATTAAATTTTAAAGGGGTAAAGACTTAATATCCACTGCGGTTTGTTCTCACTACCAAATGTGTTTTATGGCTATGAATTCGTTTACGAGTGGAAGTGTTCTTCTAGAATCAGGCACATTTACCAGTCTAAATTTGGTTTGTAGTGATTCCTACTGAGTGAAAAATAGACTGACATGATAAGTTTAACAAAAAAAATACAAACACGGGTTTGAAACCATTGAGCTGCTTTTGTTTTGTGCTATAGATTAACAGGGCTTCATTATTTCCCCCTTTTGCAAAACATGAAGAAGCAATGACTGCTGGAGTACAAGCAACCATCTTAACACCTTCCTACAGAATTTTTGAGACACCGGAATGAAAGCTTCCTATTTTTATATGATCTAAATAGTGTATTTTATATACTTAACTTTCATGTTGTTTATGTTAAGTGCAGCATATTTTGCTCCTTGCCCCCTCCCTTTCCGCTGCCTGTTCATCAGAAGGACAGCTTTAAATTTGATGTCAAACCTTTGCGTGGGGGGTTTATTCTTTTATTGTTGGTTTTGGTGTTTCTTACGCCTGATTCTCACTCATACATTGTAAATGTCATTCAGCTTCCCGTGTGTGTGTTTGTTTTCTTAAACCTGCAATATCTGATTTTACTGACACTTGGGGGCAGTGTCAACAAGTGAACACAACATTTGTGTTTTTGCCTTTTTAAAAATGGAATGGAAACTGATTTGTTTTAGATATAAACCTGATTATTTTGAGCTTGTTTGCTTTAATTTTGTGTCACTTTTGAGTCAGTTACAACTGTTTGCTGACCATTTGTTTTTCTCACTAGTGTTTCTCAAACCTTTTCTTTTTTTTCTTTTTTTTTTTTGTTATTGTTTTGAATCTCGTGGAGGTTTTGTGTTTCTTTGCAGGTGTGTAAAATATTTGTTTGCGTCATCTTGTTATCTGTCTTCACAAATATCTCTTTGTACTCGTTTTCAGCATCTTATCATTCGTAACCTATTGCGGTCATTTGTGTGACTGCTTCAGAATCTCAGCCCTTTGGCCTACACCAGGCAGAGTCTTTTCTGTTCAGTAATCTACCATTTCACATAATAAATTTTTTACCAATTTTTTACCAAAAACTGAATCCTGTATGAATGTAAATAATTTGCCTGCCTATATGTTTTATTGCTGTGGCTGTTTCTTGCATAGCATTTAGTATCCCTGTAACCTTTCCTGAACTCAGTGGGGTTGGTG